AAAAAAAAATCGAATTTCTAGTCGATCATCAAACTTGCTACAGTATTTTAATAATGCTTTGAACATGGTATTTACGACGTGGTGGTATGTCGTAATTTGGGCTCGTTTTATTTTTCTACCACTTTATTTTTATTATCAATTATTTCCCAACATCAATTTTCAATTAATTTTCACACTTCTATTATATATAATGATTAATTATTTGCATTTTATATTTACCCATAAGATAGTATTATAGTGTCATTACCGTATCCTATTGAGATAATATCGAACTGTAATCAGGTGAAAATTGAACGAGTAGTATGCGATGAGGAAAAGTTAGAGCCTTTCAAAAAAGACCAGTTCGATCTCTTGTTGTCATCCTTATCTGCACATTGGATCAACGATCTACCTCAGTGGTATGTAATAAGCATCACTATACTGGAACTGGTGATAGCTTTACTATTATTTTTCGTTGATTTTTCATTTTTGAGACTCCAATATCACAGGTTCTCTGATAAAATATTATCGTTAAGGTTTTGTCGTTGTTTCGAAATTTTGAAGCCCGACTGCCCTATTATTGGTTCTCTGTTAGCGGAAGATTCTCTTTACGAGTTGAGATGTTCACTGCAATTAGCTGAGGTTTGTATCGGTTTTTTCGATGGTTTCAGGCAATTTTTTTTTGGAAATCTGGGATTTTTATTATTTTCATGAAAGGATAACTTTTTGAATAAGAGATTCAAAACTATAGACTGTTGGCAGCTTCATAGGACTTAGAATATAAGTCAGCGTTAATATTGCAGCGATTTTTAATTGATTATGCTTATAAAATTTGAATCCTCTCAATTTTTGTCATATTTATGTGGTCGAACTCATCCGTTGTTTTTTTAGATGGAGCGCACTGGCGGGGTTGGATTGCACGTTTCTCCCTTCATCAAGCCTCAAGATATCGGCAGTCTACTGAACAAGGCTGGGTTCGACCTGGTCACACTTGACAGCGACGAAGTTCAGGTACTACCTTCCGCTGACTCTGTTTTGCTCCTGGTAGGTTTCTTGACATGCATTGTTGAAGTAGAAGCGAAGTTTGGGAAGAATCCGCAGCATCCTTTGCCTAATAGGTAGGATAGCGATAAGTTCTATCAACCCTAGGAATGACTTTTCAAGAAATGAACTCAGTCTAACGTGTTAGCCCTTGTTATATCAGCACTGTATCGGATGCGTAGGGGATGATGGGAACCGACTACCTTAGCTCTTTTATGCGGTTTCTGCTAAGGAAATTTAGTTTACCAAATAAGCCTAGGCATGGAAGGAGCACCTGGGTGGCTGGGATGATTACCTTCTGCAAAAAAAAAAGAAAAAAAGAAAGAAAACTTGCCCGCCGCGGTGTTCCTTCCCTACGAGAGCCCTTATTTAAAAACTGGCATGTCCGTGATATAACACGGCATAACGCGTTTCATTGAGTTCATTTCATGATATACCGACATTGTGATAGGTGGCCCCCCCAACTACATTTTCACCCTCTTATTGTGAGTTGGTCCCAGGTTGGATATCCTCACATGATGGCACTGATGTACGATTTGCAACTGATGGCTGAATCACATTGCACATTCTCGCGAAGTCGGACTATACGAAGAGACGTTCTATTGGCAGCTGATGCCATATATAGAGTAGGTCAATTCGATCGGAGCACTCAGGCAGCATTTTCAAGCCATGGTGCTGCTCATATTGGCAAAACTTTTTTTGAAAGGAAAGGAGTATCAAAGGTTTGGTAGACCCTACTCGGATTTTGTGACTGTGGATTGTGGCTTTATTATGTCATTATATTCTTTTGATCAAATTTTGTAAGCTCGCCTAAATTCTTTTCACAAGAAACTTGTGTTGGAGCCGTTTGGAAATATTTGGCACTTTTTAAATTTGGGGAGAATAAGGAATGGTAAGGGAAACAAGAGGTATCTGGCCAGGTAGGAACAAAGAAAAAA